CGGCCCCATCGCCCGCGTCCTCCAGGGCGAGAAAAGCTGCTCTGCGTCTCCCGGTGGCGCACTAGCTGCGCTCCCCCCAGCAGACCAGGGAGACGCAGAGCAGCTTTTCTCACCGCAGAGGACGTGGGCGGCGGGACCGCGGTGCATCTGGGCGGTCCCGCTGCCCGCGTCCTCTGTGGCGAGAAAAGCCCCGTTTGTATGTAGGGATCTGACGTAAGTCGGATCCATGTAACTCGGGGACTGCCTGTATTGCAGAGCCTGTGGTTGCTCTGGCAGACTGGAACAGCCTCCTGCCTGGGCAGGGAGCTGCTCCAGCCTCTACCAATAACCAGTAAGCATTACCCGTGTAGGGTACGTTCGCCTTTCACGTTCCTACTGTTCACACACTGCAAATCGATTTGATGAGACAAAATGTTGTAGGAAGAGACAATAAATACAGTGACAATTTTAGCCCACTACCCTCTGTCAGCAGCTGCTGGAAGGAACAGAAGCATCACTTCTGTGCTCCCCACCCGTACAGATCAAAGGAAACCCTTGGAGGATTTCACCCAGCAAGTAAAATAGTCCATCAGGAATCAGAGTACCCTTCCCAGACCCAGTCAGTTTTGTTCTTTGTGTGTGGGCAGGGCAGCCTGGCATTGCTTAGAAGTAGTTGTTATTGGAAAGACACATTTCTCCAGTCCCAGCATCAGCCGTGCTCCGGATGTTTTACATCAGTGGTCCCCAACCTTTAGAGGCTCCCGGGTGCCCGGGGGTGGGGCCACTCACATGCCAGATACCCAGGGGTTTAAAAAACGGCGCCGCAACGCCACACCAATGTGGCACCACCCCCTTCGGTGCACCGCAAGTGATTTCACCCCCGGTGTAGCCCTGACTCCACCTGGGTTGACAGCGCATGCTCGCGCCTCTCTCAGCCATGCCCGTTTTCCCTTTCCCCGGCCTGGTACTTTCCCCGGCCGGGTCAGCTTGCCTGCCTCCTTGTCGGAGTTCCTCGGCCCGGTGGGTTCTTCTGGCGGGGCTGTAAGTACCAGCAGCGCCCCTACCGGCTCTGGTGCAGGACTGCGGAGCCCGGTGGCTCTGTCCCGCCAGGCCAGTCCACCCCTGCATTAGGGTGTGCCTAATGCAGACTAGGCGGGCGCACATAAATGCCCCGGTGGGTGCCATGGTGCCCGCAGGCACCGCGTTGGGGACCACTGTTTTACATGCTGGGTGAACTCCTGGAAGGATTTCATTTGAACTGTGGGGGTGGGGCGCACAGCAGTGATGAATTTGTTCCTGCTTTGCAAAGGGAACAGCCCTTTTGACAGCATGATCTGGGGCACTGCCCTTTACTTTGGGCAGGGCAGGAAATCCGCTCCTTCCCTCCACTGGTCCATTCATCCTTCCAGCAGCTAGTGGGGCCTCCATCCCGTCTTATCTAACTGCACTAACTTTAAGAAACCCACACCAAACACGTGCTAGTTGAGAGGCCAGATTCTAACCAACAGAAGCATCAGGCAGGGTAGTTTGGTGCCTTAGGAACAAGACTGGGAATCAGGAGATCTAGGTTCTGGTGCCAGTCCCCCTGCAAACACCCCTGTTACAGAAAGGACATGGACGAACTGGAGAGAGTCCAGCAGACGGCAACAAAAACGATCAGGGGGCTGGAGCACAAACCTTATGAGGAGAGGCTGAGGGATTTGGGCTTAGTCAATATTAGAGGAGAGTGAGGGGGGTTTTGAGAGCAGACTTTAACTTCCTGAAGGGGGGTACCAAAGAGGATGGAGAGAGGCTGTTCTCAGGGAGGACGGAACGAGGAGCAATGGTCTCACGTTGCAGTGGGGGAGATCTAGGTTGAATATTAGGAACAACTATTTCCCGAGGAGGGCAGAGAAGCCCTGGGATGGGTTCCCTAGGGAGGTGGTGGAATCTCCATCCCTAGAGGTTTCCAAGTCCTGGATGGGACGATTTAATTGGGAAGTCCTCGAGTCCAACCCCCATTCAGCTTTGGGCAGGGGGTTGGACTCGAGGACTCCTGAGGTCTCTTCCAGCTCTATGATCCTATGACTTTGGGCAAGTCCCTTTCCTTTCAATACCTTGTCTGTAATGCTGAAATAGTCACACACCCCTTACTTGGGAGGGAGGGGGAGCTGTGCTGAAATTGTACTGATGCATACACGCTGATCGGACACCAAAGAAAGGCCTGCAAAGAGAATTTGATCTCAGGGTGCGACACGCACAGCCAGCCACCAAGAACAGCACCTGCCTCAGGCCTCCTGCAGACTCTGCTGGGTGCCCCTGGACGTTGCTCTCCTAGGAGGGGATGCTCTGTGTCCACCTTCATCCAGGCCTTGGTTTTCCCCTTCGGAAACCTTCCTGCTCCCTTTTAAAGCCCTAACAGGCAGTGACTCCCCTTGGCCAGCAGGTGTCCCCAGCGCTCCGTGGAGACGGCCTCCCCTGGTTTGCTGTCTCCAGGGCCCCCCCTGGTTTGCCGTCTCCAGGGCTCCCCCTGGTTTGCTGTCTCCAGGGCTTCCCCTGGTTTGCCGTCTCCAGGGCCCCAGCAAATAAGGACGCACCACTCGGCTTTGACAAAGCCCTTTTTATTTGTGAGCGGATTGACGCAGGCAGCCGGCACAGGCCTGGCCAGCTCGCCGTGACCGTGCCAGGACAGAGACCGCAGAGAGACACGAGCAGAGCCACGCCACAGCAAACACACACCGAGCGAGGGGTGGAGGAGGAGGACACGGGTCGGCCGAGGAGCGGGGCTTTCAGGCTACCAAGTGCTGCCTCACCCCCGGCCTCCTGGAACGTACAGATCAACATGCCTCTGCTGAGCCGTGCCACTTAGGCAGCCCTGCGGGGACCCCTAGGAAGTTCAGGCTCCTTGGCGTCTCTGTAGCATGGCACACCAGGGCTCTTGCAGGCAGAGATTAGTTCTTGGCTGAGACACAAAGCTGCCCCCCTCAGTTGCAGGGTTGCTTTTCCCCACTACGTCCAGAGAGGTGTTTAAGGCGACGCTGGGCCCTATTGGGTCATATTACACACCCAGCAACTTCTACACGGCCAGGCCGAAGGGGCCAGTCATCAGCAATACTGGGATCCTAGGAGGGGGCTCCCCCAAACCCACAGAAAACGAGCCTGTACTGTCCACGTCTCTGGAGAGAGGTAGAAGAGCAGCCCTACATAGAAAACGTGACCAATCCGTATCAACAGCAGCCGTTTCCTGGCATTTGCACCAACGGCGCGTTTCTTACCCAACTAAGGCTCGCGCCGCGCATTCAAATTAAACTCCTCAAGGCAGGAGCCCATAAGGGGACACCCTAGCCCACGGCATGTGCTGAATGGGCCCTACCCCTCCCCGCCCCAGGCTCCGGCTCGGTATGATCGCTTCGGGAACAGGACAGACAGTGGCTGCTGCAATGATCTGGACAGCACAATCCTTCACGTGCCATGGCCCTGGCCAGAGAATGAATCTTTCACCCCCCCTCCCCTCGCCGTGCAAACCAGGGCATCGTTCAGTGCTAGTCATTTAAGAGCCAGTGGTTCTTGGAGGTCAGAACAAGCTGGGTTTCTCCCTGCTTGGCAGAGCTGGGTGGGGGGCCGGGCTACCTGAGAATCACTAGGAGAGGCACCCTCCAGCCCAGAACCCACCCCCCACCACAGGGCCCGGGCACAAGTAAGTTATCTGGCAGGAAGAGCAGGTGCTGCCTCCCCTGGTGGAATGTGAAATCCTGCACAGGATAAGGTGGCGAACGGTTCTCTTAATCAGCCAACGCCACCCTCTCCTGTATGGCGCGCAGCCCGCCGATGCCAGCCACCCTGCAGGAGACCAACGGGAGTCGCCGACTCACAGCAGCGGGTTCCCAGTTCCTGGCGTCCATCAGGCAGTGCCCAAGGAGACAGCAGCGGAGGAAAATTCTCCTCCCAAGGGAGGGCCAAACGTCCTGTTTAAAATCACAGCGGCTCAGGAGAGGAGCCTGAGGCGTGGCTGGCGCTAACTTGCCTTTGCGACGGAAGAGGGGGCCGTCCGGCGACCCCGTCACGGCGGGCGGGGCAGCGTCGCGTTCCCTCGACAGTCCACGTACTGGTAGTTCTCAAAAGACAGCTGCTCCGAGTGGCACAGGTACGAGCAGGTGAGGGTGCCCCTGCAACGCAGAATCCCACCAAGGGCCCCTTTTACTTCCACTCCAAAGAGATCCGAAGGCACCCGCTGGATCTCCCACTGGGAGTCACTCTCAGGAAAAGTGACTCCCCTTTCCCAGCCACACGGACACAGTGCCGGCTTGAGCAATTCTGGCGCCCCGGGCAGCAGGCGCGTGACACGGGCGTGGCCCCGCCCCCCCGGCACGCTGCACCTCTTACAGCTACCATCAGGCATCCCCCATAGGTTGGTGCACCAGGCAGCTGTCCAGCTAGCCCACCCCTTAATCCGGCCCTGCACAGACAATTCTCCTCTCTCCTCCCCGGCTGCTCCAGCCTCTTCGCACCACAGATCCAGGCCGAGCTGCCCAGTTTCACACGTTTGGAAGGGGTTCCCTCAGACGGCTCTAATTTGTAAGGGAGCACGGAAGCGATCCCCCTCACGGATCAGCGGTGTTCTTCTAACAGCCCGTCAAGCTGGGCCCGTTCATTGCTGGCGGGACCTCTATGCCACAAGGGCTGCTCCCACCAAACAAACCGTGTGCACCATCGTCGCGCCAACACAGTGCGACTGCGGCACGCACCCTCCCATGCGGGGCACCCCTGGGCTAACACCGCTGGGAAGTGGCACCATGCAAAAAGCAGCAGCACAGGTCACCTCGGAGTCACCTTCAGCCCTCAGCTGAAGCTTTCAGCCTCCTGCGAGCGGCAAAGGTGGCCAGCAGACAGCTGCTGTGGCCGCAGGAGCTGGGACCGCGCACCAGCACCCCTGCAGAGCGCCCCGTCTTAACATTCAGCCCCGCCACCAGGTCTCCATACAGAGGGGACACATGTTTAACAGCTAAGGCAGACGGGCCAAACCATTCTCATCCCAGAAGGCACCACCACAGAGACCTGGACTGGACTGTATGTCTCAGCCATTGGTAAGGGGTTTGTCATCCCTGCTCCGTTGGCAGCCAGACTGGAAACCGCTGTCAATGGCAGGTCACTTTCTGGGTTGTATTACTGGCCAACCCCTTGGCAGGGCTGGATGGGGGAGGCAACGCTTTCTTAGCTTGCCCGGTGTGGGCCTGTCTCACTTTGTTCCATCACACCCTGGTCTCAGCCATCTGGGGTCTTTATTCAAATGCAAAAAAGACCTCAAGCACCTGTCTAAAGCCAGGTCAACGTTGGAGAGGGGGAAGGTCTGCTTAAGGTACGCCACTCCAGATATGAAAACAACATAGCTGGAGTCGACGTACCTTACGCTGAGCTTAGCGCCATCCCCACAGTGGGAGGTCAACAGGAAAAACGCTCCCATCAACTTCCCTTACTCCTCACAACACCGATGGGGATGCCCTCAGGGTTCAATTGAGCAGGTCTTTACTAGACCTGCTCAATTGAACTCCAGAAGATGGATCACCGGCACATGGATCCTCTAGTAAGCAGAGATGTGACCTGAGTCACTCTGCCCCAACCTGGCGGATGGACAGGATCTACTTTTTGCGACAGGCCAAACTCATTCTCCTCACCACTGCTTGTACCATTCGCCCCAGATGCGGGTATAGCTGTTCCCAGTGCTGGCTGAAACAGTACCACCGTACAAGTCGCCTACCCTCAGGGTTTGCACTGCCCAAGCGCCTGAAAGGCTGAAGTCAAGGGCATGTCCCTCTGCACCAATAACTTGTGTAACATTCATCTTAAAATTCAAATAACTGTTACACACCCATACCAGCAGCTGCAAACCTATCTGGGGAAAAGCGAATTAAAACCTCAAACAGCATCGGGCTCTGAAAACACTAAGGCGAAGGGAAATCCAGATCGCCTCAGTGAGAAACACTGGGGGCAGCACGGATCGCTGGCTCTCAGCAAACACCACTTACTGGATGTGCAGCAGAACGTTGTGGACTTTGATTTTGACCCAGGTGCAGATGTTGCTTAGGAGACAGAAAAGAGAGAAGTCATTTTGCAGCTCAGTGTTTTCATCACACAAGGCCCCTCTGCGCCTCGGAGCGACAGGGCAAGCTCCTCCGAAGTGCTTCTCTGATGAGGCCTACGCTTGGACGGACAGGCTTACTTGGCAAAGCACTTCTTGTACAGACACAGCACACGCTGGCAGGCCTTAGTCCCGCAAGCCTTTAGGTGAAAAAGCTGATTCCATCCATGCCCCCCTCTCCCCCTTGGGCAAGAAAACTAGACTGGCACAAGTGCCATTTTGCATTACATTAAGGGCTTGGCTTTTACCATTGCAGCTCATTTGGGCAGAGATCTCACACTCACACCCCTATGCAGCAGAAGGTGGCAGAGCAGACCCGACACCCTCCTGACAAGTGCAACAAGCAGAACAAAATGGAGAATTCACATTCCGGCAACACCCGGCACCTCTCCCGCTTGTGGCTCAAGATGCCTGGGGCAGCAAACTGTTCATCCACAGAGACCGGGGTGGCATAGAACCGCGCACAGATGGAATAATTAGCATCAGGCATTTCCAAGCCGATGACTCTGCATGGGGCTGGTGGGGGGGATTCGATTTGAAAGTGACAGTCTTGCCAGTTGCAGGCTGGGAAAACATTTCATACAGAAGAACTGGAAAGGAATAGAAAACGGACCTGCTGGGTTTCGGTCCCACCCCACACAACTCAAAACGGCACCTTCTCAGCGCCACTGCAAGGTCAGACAGAACGGGGCTACGGCCCAAGGGGTACATTTATGCCAGACAGCCCCTGAAGAAACACTGCCAGAAACATGAATGCTACTTAAGAGCCAAGAAAGGAAGTCCCTGGGAAACACTTACTAGGTATTGTTGTCCTGAATATGGCTGGAGACTGTATAATAGATCTGCAAATAAAACCCAAGAGTTAGCCAGAGACACGCAGGGATTACAGCAGTAACCACAGGGTGGTGCTGAACACAAAACGAGTTACCAATTGTTCCATCAGTTCACACAGTGGAGTTAGAATCATAGAACCACAGAACTGGAAGAGACCTCAGAAGGTCATCAAGTCCAGCCCCCTGCTCTAGGCAGGACCAATCCCAACTAAATCAACCCGGCCAGGGCTTTGTCAAGCCAAGACTTAAACACCCCTAGGGATGGAGACTCCACTACTTCCCTAGGGAACCCAACCCAGTGCTTCACCACCCTCCTAGTGAAATAGTTTTTCCTAATATCCAACCTGGACCTCTCCCACCACAACTTGAGACCATTGCTCCTTGTTCTGCATCTGTCACTACTGATGTGAAAGTGTAAACGTGCACACGGTTAACCGACGAGTCTGGGCCCACTGGTTAACACGCATGGTTACACGCGGCCCTCCTGCTCCTCCCCCGCCCCACACTGCTGCCTCTATCAGCGGAGGGGGACAGGTGGCTCTGCAGGAGCCAGTACACGTCGGGAGCTCCGGGGAGCTGCCTTCCCCCAGGAGTAAATTTTCAGCAATTAAACGTTTAACTAAATCAGGGGTGGGGAATCTTAGGCCTGGGGGCTCGCCTGGATCTGGCCCCCAAGGATCAGCATTGGGGAGCCCACGCTGGCCCTCCAACCCCCCTGCCACCCACATGCAGGGCTGGAGTACACAAATCGACAAGCGTGGGCCCCCCTCGGCGCTGATGTGCGAGGGGAATGTGGGGAGGGTCTTTCTCTTTCTCAGTCAGGGGCCTCTCATTTGTGTGCGGCCCCCCGACTGATTTTTCGGTGGATCACCCCCGGCCCAAGAAAGGTTCCCCGCCCCGACCTAAATCCATGCATTTTAACAGCCCTCGCTGGAACCAAGCGACAACACGCTAGAACTCGCCAGTTACATGGTACAGCTTCATCTGCGTGAAACGTCAGCATGTGCTTGGCTGCCTCCCCTGTGGGCTAAGTCCTGTCCTGAGCCCAGCAAGCGACTGGGCTCCTGGAAAGGCAGGAATGGGGAGGAGGAGGTGGGAGGGGAGACTGTGCCCCAGGGCCAGCAGAAAAGGGATCAGACGTCTCACCACTATCTCTCCCCATCCACGCAGGCCAGAACAGGCCGGCGAGAAGTGGCAGCAGCACCCACCTGCCCGCTGTGCAAAGGGCCGATATTCAGCATGCTCTTCCTGGTGGTTTTCCCTATCACCAGGGACAGGTGTAAGACCTCAATGTCCAGCTGGATGACGGTGACGGGGTAGAAGTTGTTGTTGGTGACGTTCAACATGTTCTAAGGAGAGAGAGAAAGAGAAACTCAACCCGAGGCCCTCGCCCAGCGAGGGTAACATGCCTGCTGGATTTCCATGCACCCCTGCAAAGCGCCAGTCCTCAGGGGCGCTTCGCCGGGCCATGGCAACTGTTTCCTCTGAGCACTGGCCAAGGAAACACCCGAGATATGGGGGAGTGGCTGGCTGTAAGTTTGAGGAGCATCCTTCCTCACCGGCCCCAGCGCTGCTCTGGGGATCGCATGCCCCCGGCGCCCCCTCCCTGCGCTGCACGTTCCTGGCTGGGCTGGAAGCAGAACGATGGGACACACGGCGACAAACAGCTCCCCATTTGTCACTCAGCCAGCGCCCTGCGGCACCGCCTGCCCCATCACACACACCGGGCCTGGTTCCTGCCGGGCCAAGCCTGCTCTGCCAACTAGCTCGCTCCTGACCCAGTGCGCTATCCCCAAGGCTTAGAAGTGAGCCGAGCTATGGACTGATGATGAGATATGAGCATGGGTATGGGGGGGAGGGGAGAGGCAATACTTTCCCCAATGGCCAGGCATGATCCTGCCCACGCTCCCCCCCCCAAATGCCCTGGGATAGCGCGCCCTCCCCATGCTCCGGTGCCGGGGAGACTGGGGCTGCAAGTCACCCGCCTTCTCCATACTCCAAGTCTGGGGAGGCCGGGGCCACACGCCGCCAGCCCATCCCACAGTGCTCCAGGGTCAAGGAGGCTCCCGTTGGGGGGTTGAAGGCTTGCCCTGGGGGGGAAAGCCCTGGCTCCCTTGGGGGGCAGGGCCTCAGGCAGAGGGGCGGGGCTGAGGGCTCGCCTTCCCCAGCCCTACGTTCTCCCACCGCCCATGGATACGAGCCAAGAAGGGAGACGAGGCAGCGATCGCCCCTCCCCCAGCTCCACGTCACCCACCGTGGCCAGCCACGCACCCACCGTCATGTTGAGGTTGATGGTGGCCGTGGTGAAATTGAAGGCGATGGAGGAGGCGTTCAGCCCTGCTGGCTGCACAGCCACAGAGCGCGGGAAGAGGAAGAATATGATGAGCGAGGACGTCAGCAGGCAGATGGTCACCGCAAGGCACACGTACAGCTTCCTGCAAGACAGCGTCCCGGGAGCATCAGCCCCTCGGCCCAGCACTGCCCACAGCCCTCGACAGGACAGATGGGCCTGGGGAGGGGCGAGCGCCAGCCCGCACGCAGCGAGCCCCACGCCGAGAGGGACCTGGCAGCGTATCCAGGGGCAGCACGTTCACCTTGGGGCCAGGAGTCGGACCCCGAAACATGCCGCTTGCCACTCTGCAAGTCAGCAGCCCCGCTCGGCCCCTTTCCAAGAGTCCCGGCCCCGGCACGTGCAAAGCGGAACACGGAGCCTCCATCACAGCACGACGGGTGCGGCCGGCCAGCCCGGGGCCGGTCAGGGAAGGCAGAGGGGAAAAGTCATTTTACTGCCATGTTCACGGGCTCTGATGAAGTCTTGTCCCTGCACTTAGTGCACAAAGTGATGCACGGCCTAGGGTGAAGTGCTTCCTTATTCGGGGACCACCAGTGCAACATGGGCTGGGGTCGCAAGCGGGCTGGCTTGGATCCCTTCAAGCAGGGATCTCCAACCTTGTTCAACACTTTTTGAATTTAAGTCAGCCCAGGATCTACCACAAACCAAAGTAGCGCCCCCACCCCCTCCACTTCTCTGAGGCCCTGCCCTCCTTACTCTGTGAAGATAGGGTACAGGGAGGGGGGCAGAGTGACATCAGCGCCCCCTGCCTCTGTTTCCCCAGCCATGCACAACAAGCAGGAGGCTCCTAGGGGGCAGCTCTGGGCAGGAGCAGTAGGGCAGAGGATGCAGGGGCAATGGAAGTGCCAGCACTTGATAGCTTCCAGGCCAAACCAGTCAGGATCACCTGTCAGAGGCTCCAAGATCTACCGGTAGATCCCGATCGACTGGTTGGTGACCACTGCTTTAAAGGCATGGGACTAATCTTAGAGAGGCATCTCTCTCCCCAGTGGCGAACCCTTCTCCCCCCCCCCACTTTGCACATCAGTACAGACACATGGGGACTGAGTGGGAAGGCCAAAACGACGCCTTTCTCACCCTCTGTCTTCTGCCCCACTCCTCTGCTTTGTGACCAAGTTGATCCCGCAGCTGCTGTTGTCTCTGTGCGTCAAGTGGCACTTTATAGACCAACAGATGTATTGGAGCATAAGCCTTCGTGGGCAAAGACCCGCTTTGTCAGATGCATCAGAAGTCTTTGCCCACGAAAGCTTATGCTCCAGTAAATCTGTTCGTTTATTAGGTGCCACAGGACTCCTCGTTGTTTATGCAGATTCAGACGAACACGGCTCCCCCTTGGATACTTGTGTGTTAAGTGTTGCTTCTCTCCTGTAGGCCAAGTCCTTCCCCACTCAAAATAAAGCAACAGGCCCTCCTGCCGCTAGAAGCGCCCATCAGGCAACCAAACGCCCCGCCAGGAGTCACACCCCCGCAGCTTGGGGCCCAATGAGCAATTGTGGGTGAACCCCTGCAAACAGATTCCCGCCGCGCACCCCAGCAGCACCCCTAAAACCCAGCAAGGGTTGTAAAAGAAGAGGGGAGAAACTGGACTTTACGTTCGCCGGGGCTTCAGCCGCTGGTCACCGTATGGAATCAGAGCCACCAGCTGCTTCTCTTGCTCTGGAAGACAGAAGAGAAGAGGTGCAGATCAGAAGAGGGGCACGGCCCTGGGGTGGGAGTGAGCCGGGCACATCCGGCTGCGCAGCGCCACCCCACCGTTTGGGGTCTATCCGTGTTCTCGCTACCAACGCTGTCCCACTCAGAGGCACGCAGCAATGCTGACGCTCACACAGCGCTTGCTAGTTTCCACCTTGCATCGAGAGCTTTGCTGACTGAGGGCTGGACGGATACTTTCCAACAGCCCAGGTGTGGCGCTTCCCCCCACGCTGCCTGAAATTGGCTTACGGATCCAAATCGGCACAACTCGAAGATGCTTTGGACAAAACACCTCCTAGCAATTCTAACGTCACCATCTGCTGGGGCTGTAGCTCTTCTTCTGGTGCATGCCTCATTTTTGGAGGCGAAGTTAGAAATATGGAGCATGGAATGATTTGTGGTTTTGAATCAGAGCTGGAAGAGACCTCAGGAGGTCAAGTCCAGCCCAATCCCAACTAAATCATCCCAGCCAGGGCTTTGTCAAGCCGGGACTCAAACACCTCTAGGGATGGAGATTCCACCCCTCCCTAGGGAACCCCTCCCAGTGCTTCCCCACCCTCCTAGTGAAATAGTTTTTCCTAATATCCAACCTAGACCTCCCACACTGTAATTTGAGCCCATTGCTCCTTGTTCTGCCATCTGTCACTACTGAGAACAGCCTCTCTCCAGCCTCTTTGGAACCTCCCTTCAGGAAGTTGAAGGCTGCTCTCAAATCCCCCCTCGCTCTTCTCTTCTGCAGAGAAAACAAACCCAAATCCCTCAACCTCTCCTCATAGGTCATGTGCTCCAGCCCCCTCATCATTTTGGTTTCCCTCCGCTGGACCCTCTCCAATGCGTCCACATCCTTTTTATAGTGGGGGCCCCAGAACTGGACACAATACTCCAGATGTGGCCTCCCCAGAGCTGAATAAAGGGGAATAATCACTTCTCTGGATCTGCTGGCAATGCTCCTCCTAATGCACCCTAATACGCCATTAGCCTTCTTGGCTACAAGGGCACACTCTTGACTCATATCCAGCTTCTCATCCACTGGAATCCCCAGGTCCTTTTCTGCAGAACTGCTACTTAGCCAGTCGGTCCCCAGCCTGTAACAATGCTTGGGGATTCTTCCGTCCCACGTGCAGGACTCTACACATGTCCTTGTTGAACCTCATCAGTTTTCTTTTGGCCCAATCCTCTAATCTGTCTAGGTCACTCTGGACCCTATCCCTGCCCTCCAGCGTATCTTCCTCTCCCAAGGTATCTGCCTCTCACGTCCAAACCATCAAAGTGGTTTCCAGTGCTCAGACGTCTCAGGGGGCATCTACACTGCACCGTTTTAGGAAGAGGGTGTGTGTGGATGCTCCACAGCTGCTATGTCAAAATAGCTCCTCCCCAGGGCTATTCTCAGTGTATTCCTCCCCAGTGCCTCCTGGGACTCTAACTCGAGGTAGCGGGTCCACATTAAGGGAGCCTGCCTCGGACTAATTTTAAGGCTTCTCTGCAGCATGGACACTCTATTTCGAAATAAGCTTTTCTGGACGATCTCTTCCAGACTAGCTTATTCTGAAAGAAGCTTGCAGTGTAGACGTATCCTCAGCGACTAGGTGATCAGCTTAACGACTTGGTAACAGCCTGGTTTTGTCTCTTATGGTTGAGAAGTGGTTGACCCTAGAAAGATGTGACCAAATCAACTCATGCTAGTTTAACCAGGAATTTTTCCAGGGGGGATGGAGAACAAAGAATTTCTGCCAGCGCTGTGCCTTGCCTGGGGGAGACCAGGAGACCTGGCTCAGCAGGCCAGGGTGGTGAGGAGCCCCCAAGCACAAGATGAGTGTTAGTGGCTTTATCAGCCCCCTGGGAAACAACCCCGAGAGGTCTTCTGTGACCGCCCTCCGTCACACTCAGATTCATGCAAGACGGAGCCAACTGCGGGCTGCCTTGTTATTCCTGAGATGGAGGTTGCAGGTCTCAGCATGCAATGCTCCATCAGGAGGGGTGTTCCACAGAGCGTGCCGCTGAAGGAGAAGCAACAAGCAGAGAGGTCTGTTTCTGCCTGGAAGCGACGGAGGAAGCACCTACCTCTGGGGATCCTTCCCGTTCCCTGGCACGTTGGGCAGGTGATGCAGCCTCGACTCCCCGCACAGGGCACGCAGGAGGCAGAGGAGTCTCCCCCATTGATGGTGCCATAATTGGTGACTTCCTCCTCGCCAGCCGATTTCTTGTGCAGACTCGATTTCCCATCCCTCTCCTTCGGGTCGGAGACCTTCCAGAACTGGGAAAACGTTTCCCCCATAGCTGGAAGAGAATTCTTCACTAGGCCTCCAGAACAAACACATTCCCGGAAGACATCTCTTCAGATTTACTTGTGCACGCCACCTGGGTCAAAGGAGACGGTGCAACACGCTGGCAGCTCAGTTACCCGTCCTTCCTCACTGACCATCCTAATGGCTTTAATCGTGGAATCATAGAATCCCAGGGCTGGAAGAGGCCTCAGGAGGTCATCAAGTCCAGCCCTCTGCCCTAAGAAGGACCAATCCCAACTAAATCATCCCAGCCAGGGCTTTGTCAAGCCGAGACTTAAAAACCTCTAGGGATGGAGATTCCACCACCTCCCTAGAGAGCCCATCCCAGTGCTTCCCCACCCTTCTAGTGAAATGGTTTTTCCTAATATCCCACCTAGACCTCCCTCACTGTCATGGGAATGTCTCAGAATCCCACTTTCAATTTAAAAATACAGACAGTCCGTTTCTTTTTTTATAGCCCTAATGGTTACAGGGAAAAACTTGACTTGAGCACGAACTACCAGCTACAAAACCAGAACAAACATAAAAAAGAACCTAATGTGTTTTGTTTTTTCCAGTCTCATGAACTTTGAGAGACTAAGTCCTGAATTTTTGCATTCTTAAGGGTGGCAACACCGTAAGTCTGCAAATAACAATTCACAGGGGTTTTTTTTGTATGGCAGATCACACATCCTGGGGGGTAGCAAGAGTATTGTGCGCACACACAGGTGCTCACTATCGAATGCTCCAACCCCTCACTGAATTTAATCGTACTAAATTGCTTCATTCAGATCAGATTGGTGTTTGGCGCTCTCCTTTAGTTTATGCCAAAATGACTTCTCGGACTAGCCCAGGGCAATCGGAAACTCACAAATCAGCTCTTGTAATGAGCCCACCGCCAGGCTTATAATTAAAAAGAGAGCTTGCGACCAAAGACGACAAATAGCAGAAGTGAAAACAATTTCTACCACCGGACCCAGGGCACACAGCTTCCGCCGTGAGCTCATCATCTGCCAGCAGATCTCATCATCATCTCCCTAATCTAGGCAGGCTTGCTTTAAGGACCAACAGACGGGCTTCCTCTCAACAGGACGGGCCTGATGGACAACTAATTGCATTCCCCAGCAGGTCAACAGGCTGGACATAAAGAACCCCGCCTGGTCCTTGCTTGCAGCATCCGCGGGGGAAAAGAACTTAGGGATGGAGAGCAGTGCCCCCACACACAGCCCGGCCTCTCCTTTATTTCCTGGACCACAAAGACCAGCAGCAGAGTCTCAGCCAGCTTGGAAGCTGCTTTTCTTTAGCAGGTGGTGGCAAGCAGCAGTTCCCGGGTGACAAAGGACACCTTTGGACTGGACACAGGAGGGAAAACAGTCTCTGGAGCACCCCGCAAAGGGATCCCCAAACAGTTCCCTGACACCCTATTGGCTGAGTGACTGCCAAGTCACTGCTTCCGATAAGGTTGAGGGAGAGTGCCGAACCCTTTTGCAATCCCGCAGCTTGGAAGGCGGCAGGGAGAACATGGGCACCGAGGCTGGAAAGATTCCAGTGACTCTGCCATCTTTGGTCCCAGGGTTGGCTGCTAAGGACCTGCGCACAGATGTGGTTGCCTCATGTCAAGAGAGATCTCTTGGCTTTGGAAAAGGTTCCGAAAAGGGCAACAAAAGTGATGAGGGGTTTGGAATGGGTCTCATGTGACGAGAGATTAAAAAGACTGGGACTTTCCAGCTTAGAAAAGAGGAGACCAAGGGCTCTGTAAAATCAAGTCCGGTGTGGAAAAAGTGAATAAGGAAAAGTTTTCCCACAATATAAGAACTAGGGGTCACCAACTGAAATGAATAGGAAGCAGGTTTGAAACAAACAAAAGGAAGTTTTTCTTTATGCGGCGCAGTGTCAACCTGTGGAACTCCTTGCCAGAGGATGTTGTGAAGACTACGACTTTAACAGGGTTAAGAAAAGAGCTAGATAGATTTGTGGAGGTTAGGTCCATCTGTGACTATTAGCCAGGTTGGGCAGGAATGGTATCCCTAGCCTCTGTTTGTCTGGAAATGGATGACAAGAGAGGGATCACGTGAGGATTACCTGTTGTGTTCCCTCCCTCTGGGCCATCTAGTATTGGCCACTGTTGGCAGACAGGATACAGGGCTAGATGGATCTTTGGTCTGACCCAGTATGGCCGTTCTTTTGACCAGTCCCCTGGCTCTGCAGCTCCCTAGGGAGAGCTAGGCAGGTTTCTCGGATGTCACAGCAGCACGACCCCCATCTGCCAACAACAATTACTACCTGAGCCATCCCACCCCAGGCAGGAGCCCCAGGGCTCAGCTTTCAGCCCCTGCCCAGGGGCCCAGTGTAACATGAAAATGGGCTCATGACTCCCAACTTCCAAGACTGTGCCGGCAAGTTCGCTCTCAGCCTCTTTCCATAGTAATACGTGTGCATTGTTGGCCTGTTACAGAAATAAAAAACGAGGAGAAGGAGGAATTAAAGGGGTGGGTTTTCGAGGGGCTGGAAGACACCTGCTGATGTCAAGGGCCTTAAGATGAACCCTTTCCTTTGCTGATTTGCAGTACAGTGGGAAAACAGCTCTTAGCTAGGACTCATTCCCAGTATAAAATCAAAATCTTTCTTTTAGATGCCTCTCCACCACCACGGGAGAGGGCTTGGGCTGGTGGGGTACAGAAGGTAGAAAAAGGGGGTGTAATAATGTACGCAAGTAATCTGGGTGCAGGGAAGATGACTAACTACAATAAAACTCCAATAGTCCGGCATCCAATAGTCCAGCACTTCTGATAGTCCGGCAAGAGCCTAGTGAGTGAGCTTCGGCAAAAAATGAGTCACAAGGTAACAGCGGAAGCAGCTGAACTGAGCAAAAAGGGTAGTACAATAAAAGGGGTTAAGAACACTTTATATACAGTATATAACGTATATGGGGTGTGTGTGTGTGTGTGTACACACACACGTGTGTACACACACACACACACACACACACACACACACACACACACACACACACACACACCCCATCTTATAGCACCTCCTGATAGTCCGGCATATTTGATAATCCGGCACCACCTAGGTCCCATAGGTTCCGGATTATTGGAAGTCTACTGTATTAGTGTTTATACAGCACCATGTGTTTGTGTAGCACTTTACAGACAAGAAAAGGGCAACTCCTTGATCCAAGAACAGAACATATTTGAAGGACGGTGGTGGAAGATGATAAACAAGTATCACTTCAAAAGGCCCAAAGCACTGTCAGCCTGCATGCAAATGCTAGGCCAAAAGGGGCAAGGTGGCTTTGCTTGGCAAAAGCAACACCCTGGGTTGGAGGGGTAGTGAAGGCAGCTATAAAAAAAAATTAAAATATATTAAAGGGAAGAAAGGGGAAGCAGCCGGTAATGTATGTAACTGGAACTAAGGAGCTGCAGAAAATCAAATAGGGAAGCAAAGGGACACACGCAAGAATTTATGGCCAGCGGCGTTAAAGAAGTTTTAAAAAATATACTAGCAAAAAGAATCCTGAAAATGGGATTGGTTCACTGCTAGATGGAAACAGTAAAACTATCAATCATGACAGAGAAAAGACAGACGTGTTCATTAAATATTTCTGTTCTGTATTGGGCGGGGGAAGGTGGAGGCAAATGGCGCATCTCTTACTAGCATGACGACAACACACTTTTCATTCCACTACGATGTTAAACAGAATCCACGCAAGTCAGAGAGTTTGCTGCCAGCCGGTCCAGATGACTTACACCTACGTGGTTTAAAAGAGCGGCTCAGCCCTCCGGACTGTTCATGAGGATTTTCACGGAGTCTTGGAGAAGGATGTTACACGGCGTTATCTGGCCAATCGTATAGTCGATGCAATTTGTATCGACTACGCGATTAGTAGACAAGCGGCTGCTCTGCAGAGCTGTGGCGGAAGGGTAGCTCCAAGAGCTGGGACTGAGTAGCACCGGCTCCGGCAGCCACCCATGCTGCAGCTCTGCATTTTCAATGTAGTAAGACCGCCGGGCTCTCTCTGCAGTTAAAATGCTGAGGCGCAGCCTCCCGGACCAGCACGAGCAGGGACTATCTGGTCCTGGCTTGCACAGAGTCTAGCAGCCCCTGTTAGTGGCAGGAAGGGCTAGCAGCTGTGGACAGGGGCTGCTTGGTGGCAGCAGCCCCTCTCCACAGGGAAGCCCAACTCCCCCGTAGGATTACTGCGGACAGGGGCTACTGCTGGAGCATCCTCTCCTATCCCCTGGTTCTTCTGACAGAGGCAGCGGAGGCGGCCGAGGAGGCAACCGGAGACAGTGCTGGGGGGAAACTGGTTCCCCCCCAGCACTGGCTCCTGTACCCCACTGCCTCGCATAAAAAGAGGCAGCAGGGTGGTGGGGAAAGCAAGGAGTCGAGTACTCCACTCGACTACTTGCTAACACCCCTAGTCTTGGAGCGGTGGGAAAGTTCCAGGAGACTGGAAGAAAGCTCAGGATGTGCCACTTTTTAAAACCAGTCCATGGGATGATTCGGGTAATTACATGCACCCCGAAAAGAGAATGGAGCTGCTGTATTGGAACTCAATTCATAAAGATTTAAAGGAGGGGTATGTAATCAATGCCAGTCACTATGACCAGATCTAGTTTCTAGAAATCCAATCTAACTTCGATACCTTGTTTGATGAGATTAGAAGTTTGGCAGATAAAAGCTGACAACATACTGAGATTTGTGTAAGGTGTTTGGCTTGGCATCATACAGCATGTTGATTTCAGAACCGAAAACAATAGAAAAAACAACATGGCCCCCATTATGTGAACTAAAAACTGGTTAACGGATACGTTTCGAATGGCGACCATACACGGGGAAGTGCCACCAAGCAGTGCTTTTCCGGAGGGTTTTGGAGGAATCGATTCTTTGCTCTAATCTATTTAACAATTTTATCAATGGCCTGGAAGACGACATAAAATCATCACCGATGAAGTTTGCAGATGACAAAGAAGGAGGCGAGTTGTAAATAATTAAATGGGCAGGTGACTGATTCAAAGCGATTCACATCGCCTGGCCAACTCGGCGAAAGCAAGCTGTGTGTTTTAATAGAGGCAAATGGAAACGTAGCCATCTGGAAACAAAGAGCGTAGGCCACTGCATCGGAGTGGGAGACTGGATGCTGGAAAGCAGTACAGGCAGTCCCCGGGTTACGTACAAGATAGGAACTGTTGGTTTGTTCTTAAGTTGAATTTGTATGCAAGTCGGAACTGGTACATATTGTAGGGGAAACTCTAGCCAAACATTTCTCCAGCGCTCAGTTTTATTCTCCCGCACCTCACTTCCCTCAGTCCTTTATTCTCAAGCTGAGGTGTCTGCTGAGAAAAGCCGCTCCGCGTCTCCCTGGTCTGCTGGGAGGGGGAAGGGGGGAGGCGCTAGCTTCGCGTCTCCCTGGTCTGCTGGGGGGAAGCAGCTAGTGCGGGGTTGCCTCACCCCGTTTGTAAGTAGGGATCCGATGTAAGTCGGATCCATGTAACCCGGGGACTGCCTGTACTCTGAAAATATTGGAGGGCACTGCTGCTAGATAGTGCATCCAGGTCTGGTTGAGGACCAGACGTTGGTGAATTTATCAAGGACATTGATATCAACTGGAGAGAGTTCAGAGAGCTACAAGAATGAGGAAAGGAATAAAGTGCAGCCTTACAATGAGTCCAGGAGCTCAACACTTAGTGTAACAAAGAGAAAGCTAAGGGGGTCTAGATCACAGTCTAGAAGTTCTGGAAGAGAAATTTGACAAGGTTTCAATCTAGCCAACGTTTAACATGATCCAATAGCTGGAAGTGGTAGCTGAACAAATTCAGACTGGAGATAAGATGCGTGTTATTAGCAGGGAGCGTAATTCACCACTGGAACAATTGACCAAGGTGGGGCGGGTTGGATTTTCCATCACTGACCATTTTTAAATAGAGGCTGGATGATTTTCTACATCTGTTCTAGGAATTATTTTGGCCACGTTGTCTGGCCTTCATTAGACAGGAGATCAGACCAGGGGGTCACAATGGTCCTGTTTGGCCTTGGAATCGATGGGTTTCCAGCTGCCAGGAGAGCTGAGGCTAGGCATAGCAGAAGCCCCATAGGAGGCAATACGGCTTCCTCAAGAAGGAGATTGTGCCTGTGTTTGGTGATTTCTGTTCCGTTCTCTCTGTCACATGGGTTTCAATGGGCTGGGCAGCAAAGGGGTTGGAACTACAGGCTGGTTTGGCAACCCAGCGTACCAGTCACACCTCTGCAGTGGCTACTAATCCCCCAAGCCATTCGCTTGCCTGGTTAGCAGCCGACCTCTGCCCGTGGTAGCTCACACCAGGCCGGTGCCCTGTTCCACAGCAGTGCTTGTGAGCTGGCACAAGTGGCCAGGAAGGTGCAGGCCCGCTGGGATTTTTCAAGCGCAGCTCTTTTCTGTGTGACATGTTTCCTGTTGGCAGGGCTCATCAGTTTCAGTTTTCAAGCAGGGCCATGCCATCCTTCCCTACCCCTTCCCCTCCCAGCCCATAGGGAAGAGGTGGATTTACCTCCCAGCTGGCTCTGTGCATGGGGAACAGGGCACCAGGGTATTGGAGGCAGGAGGAACCTGTACAAAGGGACCAAGTTACACATATTGGGGAGGAGGTGGAGAAAAAAGTCCCCCATGGCTGGATCTTAGTGCAGGGCTGGGCCTGTGGGTAGTAGGGAGCTAGAGAGATATGTATTGGGGGGCAGTGCTGGAACCCCCTTAGAGGACAGGGCCTCGGCCGGCTGTGCCCTGGGGCAGGGTACATGTAACATGGGGTGTTGTCAGGCAAAGGGGTCCCCCTCAAAAGGCAGGGTCTGCCAGCTGGCTGTGCTCAGGGTAGTACATGTAGCAGGGGGCACTGTTGGGTGAAGGGGTCTCCCCTCAGGGGAGGGCTCCAGCTGGACATACCCTGGGGCAGGGTACGTGTAATGGGGGGTGAGGTCCTGAGGGAAGGGTTCCCCCTCACAAGGCCCCAGCTGACTGTACATGTACAGGGGGTACATGTAACAGGGGGCAGGGAATGGAGTCACCCTCACAGG